GAATAATTCAACACACACAGATAAAATAAGACAATTCAGCGTTGCACGAGAATTCAACACACACAGATAAAAGAAGATAATCCAGCACACACAGATAAAAGAAAACCTCATAAATATCATTGTTCATGTTTGACTTCCTAAACAAAGGAGCAGAACACAAACATATTTTTTTGTTCGAAATATAAATGAGCCTAACATGAACAATAATATTTTTTTAACAAGCTAAGCCTAGGCTTACTTGTGTTGGGCTCATTTACACCCCCATTCTCACCCTTCCGCCCCTTGCTAAATTGCATGTAATATTGTTTCTTTGACATTTCTCATCTATTGTCAAATAACACATTGAGTGGGCCCTCAGATGCAAACAAAATATTATTTTAATTCTAGTAAATTTGTAATTTTGTGAATGTTTATGAAAAAATATGCAATAAATATTCTCTTTTTTTCTCAATTTGGAAAACTTTAATCGTAAAACTAACACAAAATGTTCTAAATGACCATCATTGAGGAGAAAATATTCCGTCTAGACACCGCACATCCAGACGACCAACCACTGACCGCCGCATCGCCACACACGTAATCGGTAGGCGATGTAGCGGTCGGTAGTTGGTTGTCCAGATATGCAGACGCGTAGAGGGAGTATTTTTCCATTGTGGAGCCAGTCGAAATGAATTTGTCAATGAAAATGACATGAAATCATTTTATGCTGCACAAAATAAATTGAAGTTAAAAACAGTAGCTTAATTTAATATGATAAATTTTTTTGAATGAGTAATTAAGTGTATGTTGATGCATGGTTGGTAAATATTGTCAATAACATCTATAGTTCATGAGGCCACTTTAAATGTTAGAATAATTTTGTGGAATTTAATTAATTTCTATCATTGATTATAAACTTAATATAAAAATTAATTAAAATTTTAGTTGTCAAGAACTTTTTGCTTATTTTTTAATGAAGTTGTATCTTTAAAAGTGCTTATAGTTTCCTAACTAAACCCATCTATGAGATTTTCTAATTGAAAGAACCCTTTAACTCAATCAATCATTAGATTGCACAAATATTTTTACCATCCTATTGTAGTCATATAGCCACTCATATATGAAACTTGGTATTTAGTCATCATTAACACCAATCAATCCATAGATTGGATAACACTGCTTAGTTGATGTTATCCCCTGCTTTTCTCTTCTCGATTTACATTACATCCAATATTAACCATAGGGAAGGTAAGGGATCATTAGCACCACCCTTAAGGGGTTGATACACCTTAAAGTCTTGTCTTTTGCATCCATTCTCGCTATAGAATTATCTTGATAAATAAGTTGTTTAAAGTGATGATGATGAAAAGATAGAGCATTTTCCAGAAAGAAATCGCATGTCCACAACTGACCAACACAAGTTAAAGTGATTTCCAATAAAGAGTTTTAAAAAGTGTTTGATATTGAGGCCATTATTAAGTACATGAACTTTAGAATGAAAGTATATACAAGTGAGCTAAGAAAAGTTGTAAATGGGTACTTCATATACTTAACCCTCATATTCCAAGAGCAAGTGAAATTAGATTGAATGGTATTTTATACTGAGAGTAAAAAATGAGATAACTTCTTTTTAAAACATGATATTTATCCATTTTTTATGAAAATACCGTATTTTAATAAAAAAAAGTTTTTTTTTATAGAAGACTGATAAGATATTTAAAAAGAGTTCAACATATTGTTTAGCAAGGTGCAAAATCATACAAATCCAAACACAAACAAGAATATATAGGCTTGAAAAAGAAGAAAAAATGTCAGCACTTGAGGCATTATCAAGAGATACAATTCAAATATATGAAATATGGTTTTAAACGTAAAAGTGATGTACTTTCTTTATCATCAGTAGCATCATCCTTAATCATGCAAGATTTGTCTTACATTATGACCAATTACTTTAAAGGAAACTTGATAGCAATTTTGTCTTACAACTAATTAGTTAATTAATTTAATTTTATTTAAATGATGTTGAATTAACAATATAAAGTTTTTAAAATAACCCAATCAAATAATAAGGCATAAATTTTAAAGCCTAGTAAATTTGTATATAGAAAGTCACATCTTACATAGCATTAACCATTCACTAATCAAATGCAAACTTCATAAAAATCAGCCTTCTAGACTTAAATTTAAGCCTATAAAAATTAAAGATAATTAAATACAAAAGAAAATATAAAATAATGAATAATAATATTATTGTTATTAACTATAAAGAAAATTAAAATAAAAAAGGAAATATAAAAATGAGAACAAACTAAAATTCATATCAACAAAAAAATTTAATTCAAATTAAAATTTTAAAATAGAAATATAGTAATAGTAAAAATAACAATAATGAATATAATTAATTAAATTAATTAATTAATTTAATGATTGATTAAATATTTAAATAAAACATAAAAAATTAATTAATGGTCACATAATTATAAAAAAATTTATGGCAAACTAAGAGGAATCCCCAAAGTCACATAAAATTTTTGTAATTTCTGAGTTAATTTGATATTTAATTAGTTCTAGAATTAAATTTTTTAAATAAATAAAAACACTAAAGAATTCATAAAAAAAAAAAATCAAATCAAATAAAAAAGTTCTCAATTTTCATAGAAGTAAATTTCATAGTTTTTGAAATTGAATTACTTTTAAATTTATTTAGAATTACCAAAATAGCTCAAACTTTTAGAAAATTCAATTTAATTTAAAATGATCTCAATTTTTCTTAAAGGTTTCTCAAGTTATTTGCCACTCTTAGGAAAAATTTTCAAAAATTTTAAAAAACAACTTAATATTTTTTTTTTTTGATTTTTTAGAATTAATTGAAAATTAATTAAAAATAAAAAAATTATTCATATAATCATAAAATTTCTTAAAAAGTTTCCTAATTTTTTAAAAAATTTTAATCAGAAGAAATAATTTCTACCTCCCAAATCATTCTTATTACATCAAAATATTACTATTTTAACTTTAAAAAAAAAGAAATACAACTTTTCATGTGTATATGAGGCGGTATAATGAGGCGGTATATATGCAAAACATAAAGTTTAGGTGTGAGATAGTTTGAGATATGCAATTACATAGAAATTGAGAGGTGTGTATGTAAATATTCCTACTTAAATGTATTGGGAGATAGGATATAGGATATAAGAAATTAAATGTGACTTTACCAACACTAAAACTAATATTAATTCCAACCCTTGGATTTGCCTTATCTTATGAAAATGTGGGAACATTTACAAACATATCACTCAATTCCAATGTATTTACCTATCTCAAACTTTAACTTTTGACATATATGCCCTTTATTTATACATGAAAATTTGTATTCCACTTAAAAATTAAAAAAAATGATTTTTTTTTTCTCAATTTCATGTGAGAGTTGGGAAGTATAAATATAAAAAGTGAAGTTGAAGCGTTAGATTTATAAAATGCATAGGACTTGTTGGTAAATAAATGCTCCTATTTGTGTTGTTTTCGGGAATATTTTAACTAATAAAATCAACACAAAAAATTATAATATAAATTATCTTGGATTTTTAAAAGCGTCTTGCAAACCGATAAGCAACAATTCCCGGAGTTGCCATTTACACCCGACACCCTCCCGACTTTTGCCACCTGGTACAACACCAGGAGGATTTTTTTTTTTGAAAAAAAATATTATACAAGGACTTCTAACGTAGAGCTACGTTCAGAGTGCACTGATATGCAGACACGTGAAGGTGACATTAAAATTAAAAAAAATCATTTTAGCGAAGGGAAATATTTCTCTCGTGTTATTCTGCATTATTCAGGTGTTATTGTGGTGGTTCTCATGTGCTATTGTGTTATGAGAATATTCTCGGTGTTATAACAACACATTAACACATCAATAGCACCACAATAACACCTAAATAACGCAAAATAACACAAGAGGAATATTCTCCTGTGTTACCGGGCCGGACCACGAAAAAGCGCGGGCGTTTATTTGAAGTCACGTGTTTGCATATCAGTAAACTTCGAACGTAGCTCTATGTCAGGAGTCCTGATGTAATATTTTTCCTTTCTTTTAGGGGGTTTATATGTATTTTTCTAAACTCTATGTATGTATGATTATAATATTTAAATTTATAGATTTGCTTAGAAGTCATGTTGTTATAGAAATAAATTTAAAAATTAATATACTAAATATATAAATATATACATCACAAATCTAACATCAAAATTTTGATATTTTTCATTTTAGAACGCTTAAATATCATAACTTTATGAAAAATAAATAAATTGCTTTTGAATAAAAAAAAATAATTGTATGCTTGATGTAATGTTAATTATATGTGCTTTATACATATAAATATGAAAGAATTGTCAGCAATGCTTGCAGATGTCATATAAATAAGAACTCATTGGCATGCATGAAAAAATTATTTTAATTATATTGCTTTGTAAAATTAAACAAAATAGTTTAAAAATATCCTATTTTTTTAATGAGGAATATCAATGATAAAGACAAATGATTAGATTTTACCAATCAATATAAACATATCACAAATGATTAAAATACACAAATAGATGGAAACTTGACATTCACACATCGAGCGACACTCCAAATATTTGTGTGTGCACACGTGCGTGTGTGTGTATACATATTATCGTGATGATATTATTTTATAAAAAGAAAACAACACTCCATAATATAAATCATGTGCCGGCCTCACATACGGGTTAACCCGACAACTCTTAATAATAGAGTTACAGGAAATGTAGAAAATATTACGTGCAGCCGACGACATGGATTGCATCATACCGTGCGTTCGGCAGCATGACGCGGTCCACACCGTCGTCCGCACATCCGTCGTTCACAAGTAATATTTTCTCCAACCAATGTGAGAGATGATAATAGAGGAAATATGGAGTGAAAGAAAATACATGATTGCTCAACTCTTAACCTTTTAAACTCTAAAATAAATAGAAACTAAAACCAATAAAAACTCTGCTTGAAATAAATATCTTAATGCAAGATGTACCCCATAACATGGATGAATGAAAATCTAAAATTATAAATTCGGCCTAAAATAAAATTGGGACAAGACTAATGATGACCACACTTATTACTAACCAAGATGCAACACCCAACATCAAAGCAATTGTCAATGTTAAACTAGAACACCTAACTCAATTCGAAGATCTGTATCTCCTGGCAATTTTTCACACAAACCTCTTCCATTTGAAGCAAGAACCATAATTCAATAAATACAACTGATGATTCCCCCAATGAAGGACTTTTCACTCCATATCCAACTTTGATAAAACAATCAATAAACCTTCCAAGGTTGTAACTGCTGGAAATTTACACAAGGGACCTAAGCCTTAAATGTATTTGCAGTGCATGACACACCTAAGTTCAACTGAATCATCAACAGAATGGATGATGAGGCATGCACAAAGAGGGTGATTACAGCTAAAGCCATCTGATTCATGCTTATAATGCTTAAGAACTGCTCCCCTAAGCTACAGGTTTCAGGTAAATCACAGCTTCCTTGGTCTACCGAGGGACCGTCTTCATTTTGGTTTCCATTAGTATCATGAGATTTCTCAGCACTGTTTGAGGACTGTGGTTCTTGGCTTTCAAAATGCGAACCGGAGCTTCCTTGGCCTTCCTGGGGATCTTCCTCGCGCTTGCCATGTTTATCATCATACAGACTCCCCGCGTTACCATCATTTGAAGCGCCGGAGATTTGGTCCTGCTTGGCTTCGACTCCGACGCGTCTTAGATGAAGCTGTTAATATTTTTATTTTTTTATTTTACTTAGGAGAAAGTGAAGGATGGGGAGATCTATAAAAAATGAAAGATTTAGGTACCTGAAGGTATAGGTTAACCTCATCCGGACGAGAAAGGAAAGGGAAATCACCTCCGGATTTCATTATGGCTCGTCTTGCACCAGGATATCTTTCGGTGACTTGATCTTTTAGATACTGAGGAATGGCACAATAATCGTTTGTCTGCAGGAAGCAAGAAGCAAGAAGCTAATCATCATCTATTAGTAACTGAAATTACAGTTTTGAACGTTCTTTTCAAGGTGATTCCATTTATTGTATGCTACCAGAAAATAGTTTCAAACTTAGAATCAGGATGACCTTCACAGGCCAAGCATGGTGTTAAAATGTTATTAAAACAGTAGAAAAAAGGGGCATTTACATACATACCACCAAAATCTTATGTATTTACATGTCTAACAACTAAAATTTACACTTTCACATTTATACCACCCAAATGTTTCATACCACCCAAATGACTTTCACATTTATACCACCCAAATGTTTCATATCACATAAAAAATACCATCATTTTAACTTTTAAAAAGTGAAATACCGCTTTACATGCAAGGGGAAGATGACATGTATGCAAAGATTAAAGTTTAGGGGGTTGAATATGTAAATACATAAGAATTGAGTGGAATGAAAAATTTAAAATATAAAAAAAATAAATAAAAGAATTGAGTGGTATCTACGTAATTCTGCCTAAAAAATATCAGCTTCTGAATGCAACGTTAAGCTCATTGGTTACTCCTAGATGGTAACAGGAATTTGAAAAACAAAGATTTTTTTGTCATTGTGCGAAAAAAATATCTTTACATTAGAGTGCATTTTGAATGGATTTATCGAGTTTAAAATTATTTCTGATTACTAAACAAATCCAGCTAACTTAATGGAACTACTAAAATTTAGCATTTCATTTTTTTTGGTTTATTACATGATCTGATTTATGGATTGTGGAGAAAATCTGGTTGTCATTATATTCTTCTTCTAGGGGCAAAGGCCCTCCAATTCTAATAAAGGAGTGGGGACTGAGAAGTTTACAGTTAGAGGCCTAACTCCATTATTCATTGTCAAGGCAACTAGAGGTATTGGCTTGCCTGCCCACAAGATTAGACATTCGAACAAGAAGTTGGAGCCAACTCAACATCATGCTGAATTCAATGCCTCTAAGAGGGGCGTATCATTGAGTCATTACGGTTAATCGAGATGATTGGGAACGAGGGATACCTAATAGAGAGGGTGTTGTTGGTTGGTGCTATTAATAGTAAGCGAGATTCAAAAAATTGAGTTTGACAATGAAGGAGAAGTTAAGAGGTCTGATTCAAGGTTCAAATGAAGTTCAATCAGGAGTTGAATCAGATGACATAATTGTTGGGGGAGATGTGATGAAAATTCAAAAAATGATTCAAGATATCCAAAGCAAAATTTTGAACAGAAGTATACAGAATAAAATTATATAGCAAACACAAAATTTAACGTGAAAAACCCGATAACGGGAAAAAAAACAGGAAGCCACGCCGCACTAACAAATAAACAACGAAGAAAATGAGGAGAATTATATAAATTACACATTTACACCACATTCAAGTCCCTCCAAACTTTGGAACGCTTCAGGACGCTCCCATCATCTCCTCATCACAAGAGAAATCAAAATCAAATTCCCTCCAATTAGCAAAACAGAAACTTTAATAGGAGCACGACTCAAATTCAATTACGGACATCAGATTGTTGTGATATAGTGATGCGAAGCTTTAATGGGCACCGGGGTGCTGCATCAGGAGCGCTACAGTGCTACATTCTCGGGTTTTGAATCTGAAATGGGTGTCACGGCACTACCAGTCACAGTACTAGGGCCCTTTGGTGCTCCCCTCCGGGCGCTGGAGTGTGGTGCTCTCAGGTTCTGAACCATGATTAAGCATTGGAACACTATCTTCTGAGCGCTTAGGTGCTAGGTACAAGAAAACAAAGTTTTGGGGGTGACGTGCCCCAAACCCAATACGGGTGGAAACCAACCCCATACCCCCTCCCCCGGCAAACTCACAGTCAAACTTGAACGACGAAACTAAGAGCTCTAATTGAACAATTGCATGCCACATTCAGGCCACATAATGATAATATCTCACTTAGAAACTAATTGCAATCAACATTGATTCTCCAAATCTAAAACATTTTCATAGTTATGGGGTGCGACTCATCAGTCTCAATCTTCTTGAACTCCAACTGAAGCAAAACTTAGCTTCAGTTTCTCAACTATTACAGCCTTCAGTCAACATATCTACAAAATTTTAAGCTTTGTGTATCTTCTCCATATATAATTGTTGTCTTCTAAGAATGAAAGAATAAAATAATACTTTAGCTTAATGTATTTTGTCATGACATGAAATGCGACATTTCTTGTAAAGCTTTCCACATTATTGCTCCTTATCAAGTTTTTTCATAAAGTTTTGTAACTAAATTATTTCCTAGCTAGCCTCAGAGATAGCTCCCGTAGTTGATAGAGAAAAAATCTTCAGTAACTTGAAAACACAACCACTATTGTGTTTCCCAAAATAAAGTATTTCATATACCATTATTATCTCCTGCGAGATTTGAATCTACATATCTCTATAGATTAATCCATTCAATTCTGAAACAAAGAGCTTTGTTAATTAATTCTTTCAAGTATCCGAGAATCCACTTCACAGCCTCTCAATGATGTTTACTTGGATTACTCATGTATCCACTGACAATTCCCAACACATGTTCAATATCTAGTCTTACACATATCATCACATGCATCAAACTTCCAATAGCTGAAGCATAGGGAGTTCTTTTCATTTGTGTTTGCTCTACTTCAAACTTAGATAATTGTTCCTTGGATAGTCTAAAATGACTACCTAAAGGAGTGCAAACAACTTTTGCCTCATATTAAATCTGTGTAGGCTCAACATATTCTGCTTGAGACAACTTCAATTTACCTGCACTCCTGTCTGTAATGACTCTCACACTGAGGATTTTTATTGGTTAAATCTAAATCCATCATTTCAAGCTTCTTTGATAATTGCTCCTTCAAGTTCCTGATATTCTTCATATTTGATCCAGCAATCAATATATCATTCATGTACAATAGAAAATAATGTAGTAATTATCAAAATCTTTAATGAAGTAGCAATGATCTAATTAACACTACATGTACCCACTGTCTAATATAAGTTTTTCAAATCACATGTACCACTGTCTGTATTAGTTTTAAGTCATAAAAGTTCTTCAACCTACAGATCATATCTTATTTTTCAGAAATTCATATCTCTATGGTTGCACTATGTACAGTTCTTCTGCTAAGTCACCATGTAAGAAGGTTGTCTTCACATTTATCTGCTCCAGTTATAGATTTTTTATTGTTACTACGCTCAACATAACTCTGATAGTCGTCATCTTCACTACAGAAAAAAATACCTCAGTGTAGTAAACTCCTTACTTTGGTCAAAATCCTTTCACAACAAATTTTACTTGTAGTGTGTGCAACCATCTGATTCTTTTTTGTCTCTAAGCTCACTTTTTATGCAATGCATTTTTGTTATTTGATAGTTCTGCAAATTCGCATGTCTCATTTGACATTAATGACTGTATCTCATCATCTATAACAAACTCTCGCTCTTTTGAGTTACTGTGCCAAAGATCTGTATCAACCCTGGTGAATGAGAGAGCGAGAAGGGAAGCAGAGGGGAGTGTTGTCCAGTCCAATTATCTTTTCATGTAGGTGACGGACGAAACTCAAAAAAGGAAGAAGAAAAAGAAGACTCTTCTTCATCTACGACAAGTCACTTTGCATGTCTGAAGGAAGTGGAGTCATGCAGTCACCACTGCTGCGGTGTTCCATTGTGGAAGGAAGCAACAAAGCCAAAAAGGAGACGACACAAAACCCTAACTACGTGAGTGTAGGAACAAAGAAGGAAGAAGGAAGAAGGAAACGACACTATGACTTGCGGGAGATCACTAACTTTTGAAAAACTCTCGAGCCCTAATGTGCAAAGAAGAGGCGTCGAGCAGCTCATGCCCTAGTCAAACCAAAAAGGAAGAAGAGTAGGGTTTGCTAGCATGGAGGAAGCATCACGCATCCTGTGCAAGTGCGACCATAAGAGAAAAGGATGGATTGAATCTAATCTACGTGAGTTCGAGCATAAGAGGTGGCTCGCTTGCGTGCATGAGAAGGGGGAAGTCATGACCTTTAAGGTGAGTTCAAGGTTTAATTTTAATTAATTTATTTATTTATTCATTGTTTTATTATTTAGTTAAATTAATGGAAAAACCATGTATTAAATTAGATTTATGTTAATTAATGTTACATATTCAAGGTGGAGCGAATTTCATATTCTGGATCGGGGAGTTTTGAAGCAGTGCAGATTAGAGTTTAATTCTTAATCAAGAATTCAACATAAATCGTAATGATTATTTTTTTATGAATTAATGGTAAAAATTAAAAAGTAAACAAGAATTGATATTTGGTTTGAAATGAGCAGAGTAGATTACGGTGGAGGAAAAATGTTTAAGGTAACGAAAATTAAATTTTTAAATTTTTTAATTAAAAATTGATATTTAGTATAAAATTAACTTTAGATCATATTAAAGTTATTTGTTAACTAAATTGTTTTCTTTAATGGATCTTTCAATTAATATTTAGATATTAAACTTTAAGTGATAGAAATAAAATAATTGAATGTTTAATTTCACCATTTGACCATTTGTTCACACATTGGTTAATTCAAAATTTCGTGTCAGGATGACAAAGGTGGTGTCAGAGACAAATTTGGGTTTAATCATGATCGAAAGAGTCATTAGGACGATTGATCAAAGTTATAAATAGTATAATTGAAATTTAACTGAGTAATTAAGTTATTTTGCTTTTATTTCAGAATTTTGTATAAGCGGAAGGAAAAAATTATGAATGATAATGTAGGAACTGATGTCTCAGAATATCATAGTTGGAGTAATTACTTTTTATGATAAGATGATTGATGTGAATCAGCTGATTAGGAATTCTCAGTCTCAAACTAGTAGCAGTGAAAAAGCACAAATTTATAAATATTTGAAGTTATTTCGAGATATGAGACCATCGTTATTTTCATGAGAAGGGAGGGTAGAAAAAAATCATGAATAGTATGGCATGTCCATCGGAGAGGAGAGTTAAGCAAGCTACTTTTTCA